TATCACGTGGAATTTTCTTCTGACAACAAAGGGATAAAGCATTTGCCACAAAATACCTAAACTGGGTTTTAGGCTGGTTTCAAGGGAAAAAGGAAGTGGTGTTTCAGATACTTTCATCTGGAATAAAAATAGGGAGTCTGCCAAAATAATTCCTTTAAATCATGAAGTATGTTTTCATTGATGAGTTTGAAATGTCATTTCAGAGTCTTGATCAGATTTACCATTTGATTTAAACCAGAGTGGCTTAATTGAAGTAAATGGAGCTATGACAGTTTATACCAGCCAAGGGACCGACTGCCTGTTTGAGTATTGTTTTCCCACAATTGGTCTACTTCCCTTGATCTTTAAACATTTCTTAAGACAGTGACAGATTTTCTTCGCATTTGAAATACTTCAAGCATTCATACAGCCATTCCTGGGATTTTTTTTCCTATGTTTGTGGCATCTACAAATCAAAGTCACCTTCTCCATGTTTACCTCTTGCTGTTGATGACGTGACCCTTAACAGTGTCATTTGTTTATTCAGGTTGCTTCATGCTAACGGTTGATTTTTCTTTCCTACTGTGAGCCCTAGGCCACTTGACAGTGGACAACACTGGATAGACGGTAGTGGAGAGTGAGATTTTAGAAGAAAAACAGAATAGACATCACAGCTTAGCAGATGACACTGGCTAAACGTTTCCCTATTTCCAGACATGGAAGCAAGTGCACCAGCTTTTTCGGAACAAGGCTCAGGACACAACTGTTGCAAAGTGAATTACAGATTGACTGGATCCACTTGTATGAAGCATGAGAATTTCCACAGTCTCCTTTCTTGTTGCTGGAAGAGTATTTTAAAGGGTCACTATGAAATATTTTCTTTGCACAGTCATTTCTTCAAGACCTGACTCCTCCTTGGTTTGGATTTTTGGTAATCATTTTTATCTGTGTAAAGTGGTAAAGCCTGTGTAAAGCCCTCATGCTCTAAGACTATGGAGAATTCCTCATGCTAAGATGGATTTTCCCCTTTGATTCAAATTAATATTGTTACCAATTCCTTGTTTTTTGGTGGTAAACATCTTTTTTTTTTTTTTTTTTGTATTTTGATCAAGCATCCATGGTTTCTGCCTTTGAACTGCTGAGTCTGAATTACTGCAGTATAACCTGTGTTTAGTTACCCAGGAATTTCATGTGCCCACTGCTAGATATTGTGATTTATTATCATGAAAAGCAACATAGCTACAAGATGCAGCTTAACATGGAGCACAGAGTAGGACCCAGATCCAGCATGATTAAATTCAAGAGGTCTCCTGAGTGCTACTGAGGCAACCTGATTTGAAAATCTTTTTCTACTGACTGAATAGCAAATGTCTGCACCTCCCTGGACAGCTCTTTAAATCACCCTGGTACCGTTCAAATGCTGACCATGGCCACACAGTCTAATGGCACTAATCAACACCGGAGCAGGGAAGTAGTGTTATTCACCCTGCAACCAGGTGTTTTTGAACCTGCACATCTGAGAAATATTTAGGCTACGAGGTTTGGCTGTTTACCAGTTTACCGCAGGAGGGTGTCTACTTCATTAAGCAGTGCAGCCAACAGGCTGCTGGAGACCGGCATGGTGTTCAGGTGATGTCCAGGTCCTGCTTTAGGTAGGAGGATGGGACTATACCTGGTCAGAAAATTCAGGTTTTATTTTGGTTATAAGTGCCTTACTGAGCTACTGGCACCTTTATGGAGTATTTATTCACTCTCTCTCTGAAGTCAGAGTGCATGCTCTGATCAAGGGCTTTAAAGAAGAGTGGTTCTTACCCAAATCGTTGTTTAATTGCTTAAAATAAAAATATCATTTCTAAGATGTAGTAATTAATTCTGGGGCATAAGCCAGTAGCAAAATATGCACAAATGTCTGTGCCATAGTCATTAAAATGTAAATCAGTGTTTTATTTTGACTGCATGATCTTGCTTACATACTTCAGAAAGAACAGTCGAAAATAGAAGACACCAATTTAAAATAATGGTTATTTTTTTACGAAAACATGAAGAAACATATAGATGGTTTTGACCATCAATATAATCAATATAATTTAGTGAGGATACTTAGAAAATTACACAATATTTACAAATGAAAACGGTAGAAGGAGAGACGTGAGATTTCAATAGTATCATCATAAATGAGAAAATATTGTAATGTTGTTAATTTTTTGTACTATATTGACTACCATTAGAGCAACAAACATAGATTTCCAGATGTTTGCGAAGAGTCCAACAGTTATATTTTATACCTATGGCTGTAGTAACAACTTCTATTCAGCAGCCTAGAAAAACATTTTGTGTCACAATAAGAAAGAAATATTACTGAGTTTTTTTTTTTTCACCCTGATCCTCCATATAGCAGTTCTGAATACTTTAGTCATTGCCAAACAAAAATTATGGTTTGAAAATTAAAACCACAATCACTAGGGGCAGGACATAAATGTGCAGATGTTTCATGATGTTGAAGAACTTTTCAGACAACAGTCGCAATGCTGTTGTGGAGAGAAGTAACGATCCATCAGAGTTGGACACTGTCAAGAGCATTTCCCTAAGCTATAGTACCAGAAGAGGCACTTAGCTTTTCATATTAAGTTAAGAAGAAAAAACAAAAAAGAACACATGTAGCACCAAGCCATCCTGCCAGAGTGTGAGCTTGTGCTGTGGTCCCACTTGAGGGGGACAAGAAGATGCTTGAGGGGATGTTGTCTCCTCCCTGTACTGTCTACCCCGTTGTGCCCCAGAGAGTGCAGAAGGCTTGGTGACAGGGGTTGGACTGGTGACAGAGGCAGGAAGAACCACAAGCAGCGGTGCCTTGTCCTAGCAGAAGGAGGGAACCAGAAATAGGCAGGGAGATAACTCTGCGTAAAAGGCAGAATGGATGGAGTTCTGCTAAAATAGCTCGTACAAGATGAGCAGTCCTTTGGGGAAGCGCTGGCATATGTTAGGAAAGGCAGGGACAGGGACTGTGCGGGCAGGGAGAGTCACAGAGCCATAACCACCTCTCTGGTGGCCTGGTCTCTTTTCAAAGCCCCATAAAGAACGTGTTACAAGTGGTCCAGTTGTCTGGTACCTATCCAGGTATCAGACACCATTTGTTTTTCAAATGAAATACACCACTCCTAGGTAAAGACAATTCATTAGGTGCAACATAATTAAGCATCAGATATTATTTCTCACAAAATGCATCTCCGAAATCACATTGCATTAACTACAATATTGGACTGACAGAGCATAAACAAGGATAATGATAAACACTGGTGAATGAAATGGGGAAGAGATAGTTATTAGGGTACCGATGTGTTTCATGCTGGGCTTATTTAAGAGTCTTATTAATGATCTGGAAAAGGTAGTGAATAACCATTTAATTAAGTTTGCATTTGATACTAAATTAGAAGTTGCTGTAGACACCTCCGAAGGCATAGAAATAAATCAAAAGGAGCTAGAAGCATGTGCAGTAAAGAAGAAAATGAGATCTGGTGTGAAAAAAATAGGGGGAAAAAAGGCAAGATAACCTCTCTGGAAGCGAATAATCTAAAATGTAGCTATTCAGTGGAGGAATTCTGGAAAAAGAAATGTTGAAAGAGATGTAGGAGTGTTAATGGACTATATATTCCATCACAGCTCTGGTATATGTTTACAGAAGCAACGCATCAGGGAGCAGGAAGGTAATAGCCCTTCATTGCAGGGCTCTAGTCAGAACCCATCTATAATGCAGCACTCCATTTTGGGCATCCTGTTATCAGAGAGATATAGACGAATTGGAATGAGTTCAGAAAAGAGCCATAAAAATGATCCCATATCCCTGGAGATAATGACTTACGAAGGAAGATCAGAAGTAAATATGTAAGGCCTTGTCCCGGAGATGGCTGAAGTAGGGCAGGAAAACAGTCTGCAAGTATGGGAAGGCAAAAAGGGAGGTGGATAATTTATCATTGTAACTATTAGTAAGAAGAAAGGAGAAACAATAAATTTAGAGAGGACAACTTCGGGTTGAATGCAAGGAAAAAATTTTGACCATAGAATTTCTTTGCAAAAGAACCCATAAGCTTCCCAGGGGTAAAAGTGAAAGCCGCATTCAAGCCATTTAAAATCAGATTGGAAAACCCACTAGAAAAAGCACCTGGCTATTGGGAACAGTCTTTCATTGCCTGGGGAATAAGCTGGATGACTTAATAGGACATTTCATACCCAAGTGTTTATGACTGTGATATTTTAATATGCCTAGTCAACTACTTTTGGAAAGTATACATTTCTCCTGCTGTCAAGCCTGATGCTATGAACACTTGCATGCAAACATAACTTTTAGAAGGGAGGTAGGTCTGCTGACCTCACCACCCTGCTGATTTGCAAAAAGACAAGCCTGATCTCTTAGGAACTCTTGCAGGATCACAGTTGTAGCTCTTGCAGTTGTTACTGTCAAGATGGTGAATACAGACAACCACATCATCTTGGCTTCATCTATTTATAGAGAAGTGAAGAGCTGTAGAGAACAAAAGTAGGAGTAGGAAGCTCTAGAGAGGATGTATTATTATTATCATCACTATTACAATTTGTTAATGGCTGTTAATGGAGTTTCTTAACTGTTCACCTTTTCCATCTCCTGCTCTTACCTCTGTGCAGAGTGTTCATTAGGCACTGTAAGCCTGCCTTCTCTGCTATGTTTTTACCATGTTAGACATTTTTAATGTATCCTAAAATGTCTCTTGAATGAGAAAAGAGGCAAGCTGCAACCTTCCTCACATGAAGAAGGGTTAGCAAAGGTTGGGGATTTAAAGGAATATGCAGCTCAACCCAAATCTTTTCCCTGCAATCAAAACAATGTAATGTTCAACACACTTCACCTTGCTTTAGCAGCAAAAAGACGTGCGTACAGGCGTTCACACCAGTACGCTCCCGGAACACTACGGTCCTTACGGTTTGCTTTATGTTGCTGTTTTCTCTTCTTCCCTCCCTGCTCGTCGGTGGGCTGTGTGTGGGACTGGCAGCCTGGTTGTGCCGCAGCCCAATTCCCGAGCCTCAGGACTCTCCAGCAAGGGGTCAAGCAGCAGCAGTTCCAGTGAATCTGAGACCAGCTCCGAGTCTGACTCAGAAAGTGAAAGCAGCTCCAGTGAGAGTGACGGCAGCAAGCGCTCGCATTATTCCAGCCCCGAGGTAAGGACGTTGGCTTTTTATGACTTAGGGTAGCAAACCATTATTAAACCCACTTGGGCCCTTTCTCTTGCCAAGCCAACCCAAGGAGGCTGGGGGAGATGCACAAAGAAACGTAGGAGAGGAAAGGACTGAGGATCCTCCTCCTGGCACACTCTGAAATGAATGTGGAAGGGAACCCTGGGCAGACGAAGAAATTTGAAACATAAAGATAGAAAGAAAGAACCCTGTGATATTTCCCTCAAAACTGAGGTGCGTGGAACTCCTTGCAAGGCTCACAGCTTGCTTGAAGTTCTGTGCAATTGGCCTCCATAATGATGGTTTGCTTGCGTAAGCCCTGGTGTGGGCTCCCAGCACTGCAAGGGAACTAAATGCATGTCTACGTAGGGAAGCTATTGCAAAATCAGTTTGAGGGTGGATTTTGAAAGCAAAACAGTCATTTTTCGCTCACTCACTTCCGTTCCCTTTCTCCCCAGGTGAATTGTTCTCTGATGTTGCTGCCTTCGTGTGATTTAGTTTAATCCACCTCCAAAATGGATTAGACTGAATTACTGATGGTGCAAAATATTAGGCCTAAACTTGTCATCCACAAATCTAATACTGGAAATTTCCATATGTGGAACAGCCCTAGCCATATTACAATTTATCTGCCAATTCTATGCCACCTCCTGCTTTCATCTCAGAGGAGCGCTCAACAGATACCACAAGGCTGTTTTCTCTATTCTGTTTTATTATTTTTTATGCGGCTGGATATTTTTATGTGTTTTGGTCAACCACAAACTCTACAGCCACATCATACACATTAATATATATACAAATATTCAAAAAACTAGTAGTAAGATTGAGAATACACATGAAATACAGTCAGTAGATTAGCTTGTTTCTAATAGCGCATCCAGTCACGGGATTTCCTCCCCCAACAGCCATGTCTCTCCTATTCTTTCAACCTGAAAAATTGTACTTAATACCAGCAAGCCTCTTCTTATATTGTACTCTGTATTTGGGCTCATGCTTTCTATCAGGCAAAATACAGCACTCACAGAAAGGGTTTTGTCACTTTTTTTCCTAATTTAACATATATCTTCCTTTCTCTCCTTCCCCGGAGTATTTTCAGATCCATTTCCAATTTATTTCTGCCTCACTTTCACCCCTTTTGTAAATCTCTCCAGTTCTCTCCTTTCTTTCCCCTCACTTTTCTTTCCTTTAGTCTCTGCTTCTTTGATCCCTTCTCTGTAGTGCCCCATTTCTTATTTCCCATTCTCGTTCTCGTTCTGCCCTTTAAGACTTTGTTCTCTGTTTTGTTCCCCGCTGGACTTAATGCAGAGATCTTGCTCTCACTCGGTATGGGATCTCAGAAGGTGGAAAGGAAGGGACTAAGCGATGAAAGAGAAGAAACTAAGAACCCCATGAGGGAAATATGAGATAAAAGGCAGAGAAGCATTATACTCAGGAAAAGAGAAGTGTTTACTAAAGTAAAAGGGTATCTAACTGCTCACCTGTGCTCCTTGGAACTGAGTGTGGCAATTCCTCAGGGAACGTGGGAAGTGAATTAACTGAGGCAGGGCATGGATTTCATTAAGCCAGATAGAAAGGGTGTTCTGGAAGGGACTGAAAGTCACAGAAACTTACAGGAAATGTCTCCTGTTACGTGTTTTTTATATATACATATCCTCTTGAGATCTGTAGAACTATTTTTGTATAGCATCTAAATTACCAGTGATCACTGTCATGAAACAGCTGCACTGCTCCAAAAGATTGCATTTCTCCTTGCATTATATTTGTGTGGTTTGCCTTCTAGGACATGCTGAAACTACAAGGGGATCAAAAAAAAATTGATGGATGCAGTGGTTTTCACAGTTCAATCCTTGATGGGGTATGGGAGAGGCCATGACTTTGACCTGGATAGGGTTGGGGTGTCCAAGGGAAGAAGATCATCTGTGCTTTTCCCAGGAGCCAACACTTTCCCAAGCCCAACACGCAACTGATGGCACCAACTGAAAACATGCGGATGGAAGTCCTGCCTGCCTTGCATCAGTACTTGAACTTACATTTTAGGTACACAGAGAAGTCATCTTCCTGAAGTATATGCCATGTTCTTACCCAGTAAATGCAGAGAGAGAAATCCAGGGAAGCTTTTAAAGGGAAGCCCTGTCCGCCTAAATTTAGTTAGCGGATTCAGATCCAGGTATAAAGGTGAACTTCATCTATCGGTTAAGATAGAACAATGTCACTTTGCATCAAATGCATCTTCGTCATTCCATACGCAGATCAATATATATAGGTATAATGATGGCCAGGAAATCTGTATTTCTGATTTGGGGTAAACTTCATCTAGAATTCTGAGCCCTTGATTCTTTTCTTTTTTTCACAAACTGAAATAAACTCAAGGGCCTTAGTATCTGGGGCAGATATCTTCTACATTTGAAGTTCTATGGAATTTGGATTGCTGTTTCATTTCCTCTGCAATTTTTTCTCATCTGGAGATCTTTGAGTTGTTTTCAGGTTCTAAATGCAGTTGCCTAGAGTGCTAAAGTAGCTCATTGCAGAACATACGTAGAAAATAGATTAGATTAATTGCCCCCTAAAAGTGTCTGTTTCTTTCCATTGACTACTGAGAGCCTGGAGTGACTAGCTCAGCTGTCTACGCTTTATGTCTGCAGTAAACCAAGAATAATGGCTGAGCTAGCACAGGAAGGAACATTCAGACTGGTTTCAGTGATGTGGACAAATTAGGGTGCCTCAGATAGCAATGTGAATAGTTACAGTTTTGTGGCCTTCCAAACAGAAAATTATGAACAAGGACTGAGACTTCTATCTCCTCTTTCTTTGCTGTGATCATGAATTCTTTGCATGACCTTCTGTAATGTCATAAATGAGGACTCTGCAAAACAGTGATATCTTGTCCTTTGTATTATTTGAAACAGTAGGAAAAAAATAAGTCTCAAGTCCATAGAAAGAGATAAATTTCATAAGCTAAGAATTTGAAATGCTCATTCTTTGTTGCATTGAATTAACATGCAGAGATTTAAAAAAGCTGAGCCTGGTTCGACAGCCAGTGAATTTATGCCATGAGGGAAAGGCTATAGTGAGGAACTGACAGGAGGGAAGCAGGGGAGCCATTGTATGGACGGGGTGTGAATGCCTGTTGCAGCACAGATCCTTTCAGCAACCAGGCTACTGGGTGAGATATCTTGTCTTGAGCCCCACCATTCCCAAACACCAGATGCACTGCCCTTGCAGCCTCCACTCCACTGTAGTGACCAGTCAACAACCATTGAAATGTTTTCTTGTTTTTCATGCACACCTTTTGTCTATGCTTCCGCCATCATCACAGGATATACTGTTTGGTCTCAATCCTTCAGGTTGTGACTGACCAGGTCCAACGTGAAGTGATATGTATGGTAATGCTCTTTCCCACCTTTCTCTTTTATCAACAGAAAGCAACTCCAAACACAGCACTATGCAACAAGTCCTCCAGCTGCCTGGACATTGGTACCAATGGCTGAGGAGCCATTGCCTATCAATTCCTCCTGTTTTTGCATTGTGTGGCATTGACTCCCTTCCTAATAGCTCTGTAAATAAGCAGTGTGCTGTACGTGTACCCATCAGAGTAGCTAACTGGTTAGCATGCTTCTGTCACCTCACCAATCTTTCTTCACTGATGGACTTAATTAAATTGATAGTTTTCAAAAAAATAAAGTTTCTACACATCTCTGTGAGAATCTTGTTTGGATTTCCTGACTGATACACTCAGAAAAATAGGAGATTTTGCCACTAGACCGACTGTGCACACTATCTTTACCTTCGCTATAATATTCATAGCATATAATATTCATGGGCTCTAGCTGTCCCATCTGTACTGTCTGGGGGCAAAGACTACAAACAGCTCTCCCTTCCAGAAAACTCTGTGGTAGAAGCCATCTCTACAGTATGTGCTCATTATACCTAACACATGGCATACCTAACACATCCCATTTCTATTTGAGTAAAGTTGTAATAACAATACTGACAACAGTAGCAATAAAGTAGTAATAATTATAATAATCTATATGTTAGACACAATTAAAAGACACTATATTTATATAAGGATTGCCCTGAACCATTTTTTGATGGTATGGCTATACAATCAAGTTATCATAAGGCAAAACTAGCCTACAGATTTACAATAGATTAAGTACACTGCACTTAGGAAAAGTGATGGCTCATTCTTACCCCTTAGAGGGGTACAGGCACAGTATTACACTCTATCTAATCCCTCTGTGAAATTGTTACCATGCTTCAAGTTTACCATTGAATTAACTACATCCGAAGTCCGAAGTGCAGTGAATCTATCACTCTTATACTATGTAATAGTTCCTCAGTCCTGGATAGTATGCTTTGAAGAAGGTTTCTTTTGGACCACTGCCACTGGTGCATCCAGTGGTATATAGGTTTGAAGACATCTAAGATGATACATAGACACAGTTTGTGGGAGTCATCTTTCCTAAATGTGGACACCTGCACTGCAGATGCCTACATCTGCTCATCACCTCAGCCTCCTCTTTAAAACTAGTGGAAAGGAGCAGACATTTCTAGGACCCAGCTGATCTGGCCTGTTTCAGACATATATTTCAAGATGAAGTGAATCACAGTCTGGAAGAGGAGTCCACTGACTGTAGAAGGAACTCATTTACCATCTCAAAAGTTGTTGTCTGCATCATACAGATGAATCCAATCGCAGTTTTTAAGGACGTATATAACATCCCTGTCTTTCTCAGATGAAGTCTGGCTTATCATGTGATGCATTAGTCTGTGATGCGTTATCAGAACTAGCCTTTCTCTGGTAGAGTTCCATGGTTTGGCTTTTCACAGCAAACAAGTTTTCTTTGCAAGTTCAGCTTCACCACAGACTGGTTGATTATATTGGTGCTGCCCACCAGGACACCACCAGTTTTAACACAGATAAATACTACCAAGTTGTTATTAAAATAAGCGCTCGAGGACAGCATATTACCTTGACACAAAAGCTAGGGGACAGAGACCTTTCCACTTCCTGATCTGTCTGGATCTCAGCGCATTCCATCCTTACAGGCTGCTGAAAGTTTCTGACTTTGGGCAAGCCAGCTTTTCTTCTGTAGAGCAGTATATTAGCTGCTTAGGGGGATGGTGTAGACTAGAGAATTAGGGATTTCCTTTTCCTCACACAAATAATTGCAAGTAGGCACACAAAATGGGTTGCTGATACTTTCAAGTGATTTTTTTATGAGGTCTACTCCTCTCTGTTGGCTGTCATGGTTATGCTCCCTTGCAAGGTGCCTTGCTTTTGTAAGGGTTTTCAAAGTGCAATACTTTTCAGTTAGAGCAATCAATTGAATATAATGCTTGCAAAAGTAAATTGGCATCTCTGATGTACACTGACAATCTAAGATATTCCAAAATTGTATCAGGCCACCAAAATAATGAGACAACTTTAAAAATTTTCAGTGTTAAAAGTTGGATTCTTTTGATCTACCTTATGGTCTGTGAGCCTTTTGCTTTAAGAAGACACATCCTGAAGTGATGTTTTTTGTGTTTTTTTTTTTTAAAAAAAACTTTTTTCAGCCACATAGATGGGAAGATTTCTTCTAATAAACTCCTGATATATACCTAAGACCATGATCCCTAAAACTGAAGCTGTAAAGAAAAATAGTGTCCAAAGACTCCCAACAAAATTAGTAAAGCTTGCAACATTTCTGACATATTTTTTATTATTTGGCATATACTTATAGACAGAGCTATTTTTCCCATGTGCTTCTGCTGTATGTCTTTTTGTTATATACATCCACTGAAGACTACAAAGAGATCTGTGTACAGTGACCTTTTTATTACATATCTGGTTTCATGTATACATAATGAATAGCACCAAACAAATCCGTCTCTATTCTCTGCAGCAGTTAAGAGCTGCTGTTTATTTTACATGAAGAGTTAAGAGTTTTAAAAACATCTCTTCAGCCAACATCTGCCCACCCATCTTTAACATTTACAGTTAAGGAATGAAATTGATCATGTTAGATATTAGGGAGCATGACTGAGAAAAAATAAACTTAGTGCAATTCAGCAAAGTTGCAGTAGACATCAGCTAGCTGGCTAATAAGCAAATTAGAAACTTTAGAGAGAGGGAATATTTATATCATCTGAATTGCAGAATCGAACTTTTTTTGCTTATTTTAGGAACTTTTGCTCCCTGTAGAGCGAACAGAGCCCTCAGAGGGCAATTCTGGAGACACCCTTGGTTATGCAGGAAACCGGTGTAGCTTTCAGGCACCTTCTCTAAATACCCGAATTTAGAGTGTGGATATTGTCTTCTGAGCCAACTTCTTTCCATGCAGAGTATAGAGCTGCGATGGTTTTCAACTTGGGCTCACAACATGCTTTCTGACTGCTTATAAATGAATTTTGGTCCAGTTAAGATAATTAGGAGACTTTCCACATTGGCTTCTTTGGGGCTAGGATATGGCTGATCACCTACCCCATCATTTCCCTTCTTTTTTTTGGGGGGGGAGGAGAGAGGGGAGAGGTCGTGGTCTCTCCTCTTCATTTGTTTTCATTCAAATAACTGATTGCCACATTGTCTGAATTGGAAAATTATGCCCCTTCTTCACTGTCCAGACGCCATTATATTTTAGATGATTTTTTAAAACTTGATCATGTTGTGACAGGAACAAAGAGAAAAACAATCAGCCATGTAATGCTTACAAAATGATTACTTGACAACACCACCACACAGCAAACATTTGTGTGATCTGACAGTATTTAAACATCCATATCAGTAAGATGATACATAAGATGAGGTCTGGTTAGCCCTCCTTCTCCTCACTGCTGCTTGTTTTCATGCTTTTTGTTGTTGTTGTTGAATTCAGTGGTACACAAAATACAGGACACAAAATACATATAGCCCTGCTTTCTTACTAGGCATCCCTTTCTAGCTTCAGCTGCATCCTTTGATATTTTTCCTCCTTTTCTACCTTCATCCTGACACTGAGCTTGGTCCCTGGAGAGCAGAGGGCAGGGACAGGTCTCTGGGCTGTTGCTCCCTGGTGGTGACCATGGTGGTGGTGGCCTCTGGGGACCTTCTCCAGCCTTTCCTGGGGCCTCACTTTGCTTGGAGGGAGGCAGTGGGACTCCACGTTGTAGAGGGTAGTGGGGGAGCCCCATATTTTGTTTGTCTCCAGGGGACTCGGGGAGAGCTGGAACATGGTGGGGCCAGCACTAAGTGCTCCTTGGTTTTGTTTGCCTTGCAGCCCGAGCCGCCCTCGTCCAACAAGTGGCAACTGGACAAGTGGTTGAACAAAGTCACCCCACACAAGGCGCCCATCCTGACCCACCATGACAGCCCGGCCCTGGAGAGCCATCCCTACTACGGCCGTGTGAAGCCAGAGCGGCAGGACTGCGAGAAGACACCAGCCACCAGCACAACTGACCCTCACAGTGGGGACAGCCGGGTTGTTGCCACCACAGCCACCGCCGCGGCCTCTGCAGGCAGTGGGGACGGCCCGCGGCCCCGCACCGCAAGCAAAGCACCAGGCAGCAAGGGGGGCAGGCAGAAGTCGCCCCCCACCGCGGACAGCGGCCCCCCGCGGCGGGCGGGCGGCAGCACCAGCGACCCGCCACGAGCCCGGCCCGGCAGCGGTGGTGGCAGCAGAGCCGGGCATCGCCGTGAGCCTCGCTCCTCCGCAGCCGGCGAGAAGAGACGGGCCAGGGGGCCGAGCAAAACGGCACCCAAATCCAAGGAGTTCATCGAGACTGAGTCGTCGTCTTCATCGTCTTCTTCTGACTCGGGCTCTGAGTCAGAGCGGGAGGAGCGCCCGCTGCCCAAAGCGCCGGCTGGGGCCGAGGCGCGGGCCAAGGACTCGGGGAGCAGCGCTGCCCCCAAGGCCCACAGCGGCTGCAGTGCCTTTGGCTCCATTAATGCCAGGACTAGTAGTGAAATAGCAAAGGAGCTGGAGGAACAGTTTTACACCCTGGTTCCTTTCGGTAGGAATGAGCTCCTGTCTCCTCTGAAAGACAGTGATGAGGTAAAGTCGCTGTGGGTCAAAATTGATTTGACTCTTTTGTCCAGGATTCCAGAGCGCTTGCCCGAAGAGCCGCTGGCCATGAGCGCCGGAGCAAATGAGGCGGCCAGCCTCCAGCAGACTAGTAGTGCCGCTCCCCTGGCAGAGAAGGGCTTACCGAAACCTAGAAGGAAACGCAAGGTGAGCCATGGGGCCAGGGGGTGGCTGTGGTGGGGTGAGCAGGAGGCGCAGCCCGGCATGGTGCCCGCACCGTCGGCAGCCTCGCGCCCTTGGCTCTTTCGCCACGGCCCGTGCGGGATCGCTGCCCAGCCTGCTGGCTGCTTCCCTGCTGAGGGTCCTCCTCCAGCCTGAGGCCACAGCTGTGCCCCTGAGGCAGCTTTCCAGGCTGTTTGCAGCCACCTGACCCCACAAGTCGCTGTGAACAGGGACTGCCTTCTGCCCCATTTCAGGAAACTTTGACTTTGCAGTTGCCTGTTGCCTTTGGAGCTTCTGTGCAGGCTCATCTGTACGGTCCCTGGGACCATTTATCCAAAGGAGTCTTTTTTTTCTCTCTTTCCATTTTTTCATTTCTTTAGAATCAGAAGGTGGAAGCCCTCTTCTGGCCACTGATAGAGCAGTAATAGAAAGCCCCATTTTCTTTGAAATGAATAAGCCTGCATTATCTTTAGCACGGAAACATTTACACAGTACACAAGGATGGGGAACACGGCAAGAAGACTCGGACTTTTTTGCCAAAGCAAAAAAATTTACCTTTGTGCCATAGGAAATGCTAGAGTGATACTGGCAGGGCATATACCCAGGAGAAAACAGGAGGATATGGTAAAAGAGCCAAAGAGATATAGTCTAGAAAGACTACATGACTTAATTTTAATGGCAGTGACTTAATTTTACTTTTTGTGGCACAAGCTAGCTTTTATTCTTCTGTCTTGAAGTACTGCTGTTGTTGACGTGCTGTTATTAGCAATGTACTAAATACAAGGCATTGCTAGAGGTTCAAATTGCCCCAAACCATCTGGAATAAGTCTCTCACTGCATCATAGAATCATAGAATCATTATGGTTGGAAAAGACCTTCAAGATCATCCAGTCCAACCATGAATCCATCACCACCATGCTTGCTAGCCATGTCCCTAGGTGCCTCATCTACACGTTTCTTCAGTTGGTAGGCAGATTCGGAATATATGACATCCCTTCTCAAAATATTTTTAAGGGAAAGACTAATGAGAAAGGAATCTCAGGCACAACTGCAAAATTAGAAAGAGGTCTTTATCATTCCCATCTCTGTCATGGCCCCAGGAAGATGAGCAAAGTAGAGACAGAAGATGCTAGTTGAGTATTGAGCAGGATTATCTTCACTGTTGCAGAGGGGGAGTACAGCATTAGCCCCACAGCAGCAGCAACTATGGCAGTGTGTAATACAGAAAATGTTGTTGCCGTGCAGCGAATAATAAATACAGTAGGATCAACATATCACAACCAAAACACAGTCAGTGCCAGAAATGGGCTAAGTGTTAATAGTGGAAATGGAGGTGGGAGAGTGGGAAAGCAGGGCCACTGGAAGACAAACATAATAGAGCATAAGGAACTTCACATGAAATCAAATAGAGTCAGGAAAAATGGACTCTGCTCACACTGCTAAGCCAGATAGGGCCAGGGTAGAGTCCTAAGTGGTGTATAATCATCCATCTACTAAAATTGTTAGCATACATGATGTTGGCCTGGAGCAACGTTTTCTTTTCCAGATGATATCTGGCCGTGGCCAAGGACCACAAAGACCAAGGCCCATTCCCAAGAGGCAGTCTAAATTTAGTACACCTTGGTTTGAAGCAGAAAAGTGTCAAGCCAGATGGATGTGTGCTGTGCCATGCTGGATACATATGCCACTTGCTGGCCTGTTTTATCTATATGATATGGCAAAGAATCTTCTCTAATACCCTTTAGGTAAATGCTCAAAGAGAGCATCACCATTAACACCAAAATATCGGAAAATACCAGCCCCTGAATTACCAAAATGCTCTTGCTTCTGTAGTAAATCCAAAACCTACAAGATTATCATTTTTCTCTTTATTCAGTGTGAGAATGAGGAGGAGTACAGAGATATCAAGAAGACTCATTTAGAACGAGAGAGTGCTTCACGATTAGCTGCGCCTGCCCATAGCATCACAACAGCAAATCACTGCAATATGAATGAAAACAGGTAAGCATTTTCCTTCTTATTTACCACTCAGTCACATAACTGGTTGCAGTTTAATGCTGTGTGTTATTTTTGCCTTTAACAGGATTTATTTCTTAATTATCACATTTTATGTTGAAAAATTGCCCAGTGCATTCTCCTTTCTTCTGGTTTAATGAAGAAGTTAGCAGCTCCTGACACATTTATATACTAGCATTTTTGTTCTATTGGGCAAAGAAGTTGTGAGTTCAAGTGTGAGCCTTGAGGAATGTTCAAGTACCTGAGAGGTGAATGTAGGGAGGAAGGGGCCAGGCTCTTCTCCGTGATGGCCAGTGACAGGACAAGGAGTAACAGGTGCAAGTTGAAACACAGGAAGTTTAATCTCCATATGAGGAAGAACTTCTTTACTGTGAGGGTGACGGAGCACTGGAATAGGCTGCCCAGAGAGGTTGTGGAGTCTCCTTCTCTGGAGATCTTCAAAACCTACCTGAACGCCACCCTGTGCCATGTGTGCTAGGTGTATCTGCTTGAGCAGGGGGCTTGTGCTAGAGGATCTCTAGAGGTCCCTTCCAACCTTAACCATTCTGTGATTCTGTGATTCTGTGTGAATAGTTACAGTTAGAGGAATGCAATTATCCGATATGTTTTCCCAAACATTATGTTGTAAGCACAATATGTTGTAGACACCAGTTCATGTAGGTGACCATGTTACGCCCTTTTGTTTCCTTATAGTGTTAAGAATTTCAAAATAGAGTTTATCTGTATGTCTGACACCAGTTCATGTAGGTGACCATGTTATGCCCTTTATGTTATGCTTATCTGTATGTCTAGGTTTATCTATTAACTCTGAGGAAACATGTGAGAAAAATATTCACGACTGCCTACTATACTCAGTTACAGAATACATTTTAAATGCAACATTCTCTAGATTAAAATCCATTTATTCTGTGTGTAATTAGCAGACATTTTAGGACAAGAATCTTATACTTTAAGAACAGTCAAATTTCCAAAGGATCCAGCTAACTGCTGATTGTCTATGCATTATTTTATGCTCATGGACCCCGTCAATGCCAGATCAATCATACTAGGTTTCTTTGGAGGGTTCCAGCAGTCAGACATAATGTCTAAGAGTTCTTAGAATATGTTGCTTTATACATCCTGGTCATCAGCATTTCAAAAACATCTTTTTTTCTTATAGTATCAGGGTATGTCTTGGGATGAAACTTCTAAAATGAGAGGATATTGTTTTTTGTTGTAAGAGGCTTTTCTGTTGTACTTATCACTGATGAGTTTGAACAACTCAAGTCATTAACGCTGGAAAAAGTTATAGAGAAAACTGATACAAACACTGCCTATTCAGAAATATGCATTCAGTTTATTTGTCCTTACATAAATCATGTGTGTTTCATAAAGTGAAAACATTACATGTAACAGTTTATTTTATTGTGGCTGATTGTGTGCAAACTTGCCATTCCTGTTACCACAACATCATATGTTTTCTGTCATGTTCATTTTAGTTGAATCGCATGGTTGTTATGGCCTATGTCACAGGGGTCAATTCTTCCCTTCCTGGAAGCAGTACCACAATTTGGGTTTTGCTTGACATTTTATTCCAAAGTCCCGGTAGGAACTGTACATCAAACAAACAACAAAGAAGGTCCTAAATGGTCATTTGCCTCCTAATTCTTCTTTGGTGTGTCCCGCTTAGAAAACGTTTATGTGATTTATGTTACTGCAGGACACGACATCAAATGCTAATATCCCACTGCTCAGGAGGTGCTACTGAGCTTGTAGCTAAACCAACATTGCCCATGTCAGGAACTCCTGTGCCTCTTTCAAGAACCAGGTGCTCACACTGGCATGTCTCCCCTCCAGTCATGCCAAAACAGTTGTCTGTGGCCCACTTGTAAATTCACTAAAGACACTGAAACCAGAACCTTCTTTTTTATTTTTCTCTCTCTCTCTCTTTTTTTTTTCCCCACCAAGCTTTTATTACTCCTCTTCCAGCACAGGCACGCAACAGTTTTGTCAGCACAGCTGAGGGCTGTTAGCAAAGACAGGAGCCACAACACTTACAGACACGAGCATTTTGTATTGCAGAAATACAGCCTCGGGCACCGGCTGAGCAAGGCCCTGTTTGACGTGAAAACCGGTGGTACCAGGAGGAGATGCCACAAATGTCTCACACCTCCATCAGGTGCCCCAGCCAAGCCGGTCCCTACAGACCAGAGCTCACCACAGGATAATTTACCCAGCTTCTCAGCAGAATAAGGCGGAGAGGGCTGCTGCAGTTGGACTGCTTGCAGTGTGTTTAGGTGGGCCCAAAGCAGTGTGCCAAAGACCATGAAGAAGGTCTGCAGCACAACTGGAAGTTGCACAAGGGCTAAGCAAAACTTCTGAGTCTTGGGAACAATCCCAAGTAGCTATGGCTTCTCATGGGTGTTTTAGCCCTGCACTTTGCCAGTGATGCATGAACATGGCTAACCAAGGCATGGTTGTATGTTTGAAAACAGGAAAAGAAATAACAGCATCAGCCTGCAAATTCAAAACAGCACTAAATATCTTATTTTTATTTGTGGGGAAAAAAAGCACAGTTGTCTATTTTATACACCCTAACTCTTACCTTCATAAACAGCATTGGTCACTAAAGCAAAATGGCCGTGTCATACCCTCATAGTAGTACACTGTGGGAAGGAGAAGGTTCTGAATTATGATCGTCTTCTCTCATAGCTAGTTTTTAAGGACTTTTAATATGCTCCATTCCTTGAAATCATGTGGTGAAATAAAGTATATTTTGTACCACATTCCTTTTTGGCCATTCCATTTTGTACATACTGTCTAAAACATTAGCTATAAAGAAGCGAGAATTGTTCATAAAAATAATAGGCTAGATAAAGGGGAAAGCGTCAGGGAAAGGTATTGTGTTAAAATAGTCTGCTGTCTGATCTTAATCACAGTTTTAGCCTTAATGTAAACTGTCTCCTTAAAAAAAATCTTATTTCATGCATACTGTTTTAAAAGTTTCAGATTTTTTTTTCCAATTTAATCCATCTGAAGTTTATTTTGGGGCATATCTTATTGCCTGTCTGACCTCTTCTCACCTAAGGCTTTTCTCAAATAAATGAAAGCTGAAAATATCGTCTGTGTCATAGCTTTCTTCTTTAGAAGATGGAGCAGCTCACATTTCTTTGTGTCTACTGTTTGCCTGTGTGTCTTGTTGTTTGCAGTACCAGCCTGTCTTTGTCTTCAGGATGTGTATCAGATTAGTATAAACAGTGCTATCAAAGGCTGGCCACTGAGCCCAGAGATAACCCAGCCAGCTTCAAAAACATTTCCTGTTTCAGTTCACATGTGGTTTTGTCGCTGTGACTTATGAATTGTCACCCGTAATGGTGAAATAGGGCTCCATAACCTAAACTTACTTTACAGAGTCTAATCTTCTCCAGCTATCCCTTAAGAGATGGCGAGCAAGTGGCCATTTATCTCCACATTTTTTTTCAATATCCTGATACACACTTAATATACTAACTCCAGAATTACAATTTGCCTTGAAGGGAAGGAGGAGAAGCATGATCCAAATTTGCAAATGAACTCTTGGTCCCAATAAGCTTGTTACCAGATACCAATAGACTTTATCCTGCCAGCAGGTTTTAAATTTAAAGTTTTGGTAATATATAAAACATTTACCTTTCTCAAAGCCAGCTTTGTGACACTCCATTACTGTAATTTCCATTTCCAGCTTGGCAATACCAATAAATAAAAATGAGAAAATGCTTCGGTCACCCGTCTCTCCCCTCTCTGATGCATCAAAACACAAATACTCGAACGATGATTTAACTTCCTCCAGCAGACCTAATGGCAGCAATCTATTACCTTCCATCTCCTCCAGCAAAAAACATAAGGGTGAAATCCAGTTGCAGCCACATGCCGGAGACTTCAATGTAAGTTTATACTATTGTTCACTAGCTCTATATTCTTCATTTTGTATTGCAATCCATGCTGGATCTTCAGAATGTTATGCAAAAAAAAAAAAAAAGTTATAATAAATGCTGTACTGTACATTCCAATTCTTCATTTTCAAGTATGTCAAGGCACAGAAGGAAGGAGGACAGGCAGGCCGTAAAGCAGGCAAATACTCAGCAAAGTCTACCTAAGCAAGAGGTAAAAGCTAATGGCCTAAAGCAAACAGATTTAGGCCTCTAGAAAATAGCTAGGGCACAATGTAAGGTACCTCCATCCGAAAGTGTGGTGTTCTAGGCCTCTACTCAGATCATGAGTATGCCTGCAATTGGGCACTCCTACATGTCTTACACACAAGCTTTTCATACACTGATACTTAGTTTTGCCACTGGATAATAGCTTAGGACCAACCTTACAACTCAGCCCCATCAGAGGCCAGGCATATGAGTATTTATCTCATCAAAGTCTTGGTCTAATAAGCATGTCCAGAGCACTATTCCAGATAAGCCTATGACATGCTAAATGAGGTGGCAGCCACTGCCTTCAAAGTACAAAGGGAAAGGAAGTAGGTCCATGCTCCTTTTCTCTCTGCAAAGGCTGCTAGATGTTTTATCCAGTGCCTATTCACTGCCACATTATTTGTTATTTGATAGTTGGGAGGCCACAAAAGCCTAAATATTATAGCAACTTTCTGGTAAATAAATTGCCAGAGTCATTGCAGTGGTCACTGCCAGCCACTTTTATTGTGGGGATAACTGACCTGTGGGAATAACTAGCCCATATAAGCACATGACTATGTTAATGTATTTATTTCTTGAAAGGAGGGGAAAGTGGTAACTATAACTTTAATTTTAGAGGGTTTTCTTTTAATATCTTGTCACAAGTTATGTGTTTCAAGGCTGTATCACAGATGCTTTCAGTATATTGAAATAAAATTAAATACTCAAAAATGTACCATAAAAAGACATGTTTAACATATTGTACTAATTTATTATTTAATGGATTAATTGTAAATTTTTAAACATTTTAACTTTTAAAACCTAAGTTTAGAGGTTTATAACCCATTCAGAGTTATAATGATATGACTTTTCACAGGATATCTTGAAAACAATTTAAATTCCTTCACAGGGAAATGTGTTGGAAATCAAAGATAGAAAGCGATTGCTTTATGATCCACGCTCTTAGCAAATGCGTTTCACTGAGATTTTCTGCATAGCCTAGTAATGCACCATTTGGCCAACATTTTAACAACCCTTGCAATAAAATTCTTATGTATATGGTTATTCATGTGCTGACTTATTCATGTGCTGAACTGATCTGCATGTGCCCTGTGGAAGATGAGAGTTCCTGAACTCTGAATGTTATATCTAGCTTTGTTTTGCTCAGTCTTTCTGTGTGGGGCCTGCCTGGCATGCCCGAGTGATCATCTGAGTTTTTTGTCGGAGATCACAAGCCAACGAAGGGTTTTATCTTTTTGAACTTTTTGTGTCCATTTCTCTATTCCATGCCCTTCTTTTGCCTGAAAGAGAAGCAATTGCATTTTCTGACAAGGGCAACCTGGAGCTCTCTGGTTTCTATTGCCCAGTGCGTGGTAGTGCACACAGCAGATCACTTGGTGGTATGAAGGGCGTATGAGGCCCCATGAAGAGTGTATCTCCAGCAGGAAGGTGCAACACCCTCTTTTCAGCACGTCAACCTGCCGAAAAGCATGTGCCCCTGCTGTGGCACAGAGCAGTCACCTTTCAACAGAACAGTCTAGAGCAGAAAGAAACCCAGACTTTGGGCTGCAAATTCACACCACACAGACCCATTAGCAGTGCAGTGAGAAACAAGAGTCAAACCAGTGAATCTTGCTCTCCCACGGCAAGGTACAATGCTAGCTTGGAACTCAAGAGCAGAGATATAACTTGATCTTCTAAATGACCACAACAGATCTATTATTTAATAATTTCACTTACTGTGTTACAGAGCCTTTTGATAGTTACTAATAGTTCAGCTCCAGTTCTTCAGTATATCATGCTGAAACTCTAGCCGATTTCAAAGTGCTCTGAGCAATATCTGTGAATTTGTGGCTATCAGTGACAGGACAGTTATACATTCTCCCTGCTGAAATAGTAGGAAAACTAACTGGCAATTTACAGCACAATGCAAAGATGCTTCTGTTGTTTATTAGTTGCTTTTTTGAAGTTAGTAGCCAATTCCTCAATGCCTTCTCTGTTGTTTGTTGTCTAGAAAGCAATTCACATCAATTCAGAAAATGTTCTTCTCTGCAATAAGCCACAGTCCCAGACAGAGCCTTGGTCGCCTTTGTCCAGCACACCCAGGGACTGCAGAAGGACAAAGCTTATCTTTGATGATATGTAAGTACAGATGCCTTTAAAATAAAGAAAGCAAACAATGTTGTTTTCTCTACTAAAAGAGAGAAAAATGAATTTGTCCAAGAGAAGCTCGGACATGGCCAGTACCATTACAGCAATACTATACATTGAGTTGTACAGAGACATACTGGATAAACTCTTCTGGATAAACTTCACCAAATCAGCGTCTAAGTGTTGGGGAGCCATGATGACTGGCTGTTTCTTAAGGTCGGGGAAGCTGAAGGGGATAACACAGCCAGCAGGTCAGCCAGGAGCCCAGCCCACCTCGCGTGAGCAAGGCAAGCAGGGAAGAGTCCTAACACTCAACAAGGCTGCCATGATGACGTAGGTCTAAAATAAAGCTAAGAAGTCAGGTTGGGGGCAGGACTGATTGGGGAAACCATGGTCAGATCCAGCCCAATTACTGTCAGGCAAGCGAAAAGTTACAGGGCAGGCCTGAGGTGAAGTTGGGAAGACAGGCTACAGTCCATATCAAAGAGGTGCACAGCCAGGCAGAGGCATAGCTGTGACAGGACTGAAGACAGGCACACCTACAGCGTCACTTGGACAGGGCCTGGGGGGCCAAGCCTGAGATTAAGGGGGCTTCTGGGCGATGGACAGAACATAGAGGCTGCAGGGAGACTGGCCCTTAAGGCTTGTGAGCTCTCTCAGGGTCCTAGCATTAATTCTGTACACATCTAACTGCAGATATATGCAGAGTTGTCGCAAGGCAGGGTGAAATGGCTCTCCCCCTGAGTTCCTTTGGAGTTAGGGGAGAGGACAAATAGGAACATGCAGCCCTGAGCCTTGCCAGCTGCTGCTTTTGTTGATAATGCTGCTCAGAAAAAGGAGCATTAATGAAGGCAGGGTGAGTAGGAGGTGGTAGTGGTTAGTATGAGTACCTGGGGAGATACCTGCCTCTCTCCGTCCCTGGGATGTCCTTCAAACATCCCCTGTTCCCTTCCTCTGAAAACAGTTTCAGTTCCTGCAACTGTCTTTCTTCCAATTTTGGTAAATTCAAATTTCTAGTTCATTTACAAAGGTGATTTATAATGTGGTATCTTTGAGATAAAATGCAAAGTTGAAACAGAAAGCTGGAATCCTAGTATCTAGAAAAGTCACACGCTTTTTGTCTGATGAGATTATGGCCAAGAAATACTGACTTTTCTGGCTTGGCTAGAATGAAAGAGATTTTGTTAAAGCTATGTCTGACTGCCTGGAGTGAATACAGCTCCATATGCTGCATGTCCTTGACAGATCCTTCATACCCCCAGACTTGCACCCACAATATCATTCACCCTTGTGTACCAAAGGGAACATTGGGAAAACAGCCCATTTTCTCAGTAACTATCTTCTACCAGAACTGTGATTTTTAATAAATAAATACAAAAATTATAAGCTTTCTTCACACCACCTCCAGATTATCTCACCAAGGGAAACCACTTTTCCTGCGTAAAGTATAAATAAACACCCATTGACTTCAAAAGAAGGTATCTATTTGGTATGTCAGGAAAAGAAGGCTAATGAGATTCATTTCTTTGAGCATTCATGACTCATAAGAAGATCCAGGTTGAATAAATGTAACCATTTTCTCTGTCCCTTTTATGTAAAACTCTCCCTAGTGTATATATTCTAATTTTCCCTCTTTCTCTATTTCCCTTCATACTATTTTTTCCTCTTTCAAATGCACTTATTCAACCACTCTTACCAAGAAAATTTAGAACTGTTTGGAATTATGACCTAAATCTTCATAGCTCTTCAAATACTTTGTCATCTGTAATTTGCTTGCAACTGTAGATTTTCTTTTCTGCATTTTAAAGATGTAAATAGGAAACAAAAAGACATGAGTGTAACTGATAAAATTCGAAATGTAGGAAGTGCTCATCTGTACAGGTTAGCAGAAAAAATACAATGAAAAAGAGCTACAATACAACTATTGTGTCTTCATCTACTCATCTCTTTCAACACACTGATAAAAAAAAAAAGGAGGAACTGTTGCTTTTTTTTTTCTCCCTGTAATGCTGTCACAGGAAAACTGCTTTTTTCAGTATCTCTATCATCTAAGAAGCTTTTATCACTTGCTTTCTCCATTAGTGATACATGTGATTTCTCTGGCAGGCATCTTCAATAAAACTGCTTCACCTTTGAAAGAGAGATACAATAAAACTGTACGTGAATAGTGCCTTCCATGTAGAATGTCCCCAAGCAGTTTGTGGTCCATAAAAAAAAAAAAAAAGGCAATCAAAAAAGCCAAATAAGATAAGGTGCAGAAATCGAATATGTCTTAATTTGCCCTTAAAAAAACAGGAACAGTTAAATGTGTGTTGTGCTAACTAGAGAAGGGAGATTTTCATGAACTACAGCAGTTGTCCAGAACCTATATTTAAGAAGCACCAGCAGAATAACAGCTATACTAGACCTGGCCTCTAAAACTGCTGTGTAGAGAGGTTGCTGAAACATAGCACATTAGACTGACTGCAAATGTTGAATGTCAACAAATTTGACTCACGTGTTAGAAGGATCAGATTAAACATGGCAGCCAGCATCTTTCAAATTCTGCACCGCAACAGAGGATTTGAAGAAATGCAATATCGTGGGTCTAAAATTATCTAGTAATCCTAATGGCAGTGCTTTGTCCAAAATGATGCCCATGAAATACTTCATCTCTTAATCCATGAAGTTCAGAATTATTATAATCCAGCCCTAGCTTTAAAGTCTTCATTTTAATCAGACTCTATAGTTTGAAGAGACTAAATCCCTTATATTTGATTTAAAACAACGACTAATTTTTTGACCAATCAGTATCTTGTTATATTATTCTCAATTTATTTTCGCCAGCTCATTGACAACAGCTGTCGCTAGCAATAAATTGGAACACAAGCAGGTCAATAAAAAGTGATTCTTTCTTGGCAGAATGCTGTACACACAGGCATTGAAATATAAAGGTAAATATAGTTAACAGTCTTTAAAAAGGCAGGCAAAATCCAACTACCTCTGATTTGCCATTGTTTACTGCCTGCTCTGAATGTCCTTCGAGATACCCAGCATGTCACATGCATAAGTGACATCAATACTGTTTCTAGTATTATTTCTTAACAGGATTTTGTTGATTTTTTGCCATTTATAACTGTAAGAGATGATAACCTTTTAAAGTTACATAATAATGCTTCAAGTCAAACTCTGTCCCTCTATAATTCCACTGAATGATCCACTGAGGAAGGAAGACTGCTGTCCTTGAAGTGATAAGCACAAACATGCTGTGGGTGTTTGAGAGTTAAGTCCCACACCTCCTCAAAGCACTGCATGTGTGCTATGAAAAGGGTAGAACATACCTAGCTTTCCGATTCTAATGGCTGTGTGTCTTCATGTGTTTCTTGCCGTAAATGTTGTGCTCAGGAAATGGTCCATCTGTAAAGGTGTATGAGCATAGAGCTCATAAAGACCTGAAAAAACAGCTTCTTGGCACATCTCTTAGTTTTGGCTTGGATCTCAAATCTTTTCATTATCAGTCTCTTCTCCCATGTTTATCTACCACACAGAGGAAAGAAAAAGGTGGGCTTCGGTTGTGACTCTGAAACAAGATCTGAAGCACAGCTCACTCTGCTCAAAATGCCTCAAGGACTCTTAGTCTTCTGAGATATTTTAAGACACTTGTGTAATACTGAGCATATCCTCAGGAGAACATTTAAGGAAAAGAGTTTGGGTCCTCTTCCCATCAGCAATCTAAGAAATTACTGGTCAAACAGGTCAGCATTTACTATATTGACTTCTTCACAAATTCATAGGCTTACTCTGAGTGCTTCCACCTGCGTGACTTTGGGAGATTGCAAGACTTCATCTAACTGCCTCATTGTTCCCCTTCTTCCTTTTTTTGCTTAAGACAATCAATTTTCCCGTGTCTACGCTGCCCATGAGAAAATAACATTAGACCCTCAGATAGCAGACTCTGCCTCCCATGATTAGATAAGTAAGTTGCCTGTTCCCTGCAAGACCATCTACACCCTTTTTTTCCTTAGGGACATTTTGTGAGAGCTTGCTTTGGTTGGGAAATAGATGTTTAATCAGCTCTAGCTGGAGATTCTCATGGGGTAAAGGATTTATAGCCATTACTCCCTGATGTCAAAAGAGAAGCAGGGATTAGGTTGAACTTAAAGGCTACAACCCTGCCCCTCCTCTGTCCCTATGAGCAAGTGGTGCAGCACTGCTTCTGTCTTCATGATTAAGCTGTATTCAGCCTCCAAAACCAAGAATGGCTGCTGCCTCCTGAGAAGAGCCCCTGGCCCTTGCCTTCCCCCAGCTGCGTCCAGGCATTGTCTGGGAGAGAGCTCAGAATTATGCCAGGGAGACTGCCAGCAATTAAACAGCATGGATGATCAAATGATAGAGTTGGTGTCCTTGCTCTGGTTATTTCTCTAGCATAGACATGGACAAGGAATGCTTTAATTGACAGACTCAGATCTGAAATAGCCTCTGATAATATTACCACTCTGTTTTTATGACTTGACTCTTGATGTTCCTTTTTTTCACTCTACAACTTGGCCAGGAAATATCTTTAGTCCACAGAGAATCATGAATGTGAGCAAGACAGGCAGCCCCTGGCTCAGCAAACCTTCCCCTGGCTCCTGGCAGCAGAGCTGAATGTCTAAGGTAGAGAGGGCAGTTGTCTGTCCTCACCTCCACTACTGGTGAGCAGGGGGCAGATGCCCATAGCAGGTGATAAGCACCTTCCAAAACCCTTCTCACCTCTTAGATTAGTCTCGGGTCTCATGCTGAGTATGAGAAAGCCTTACCCAACAGCCATATGGTTCTACACTATGTTAACACTTGTTTTTACCTGAACTTGTCTTCCTCAGGCTTCGTTCTAAACATTGATATTACTCTCTAAAAGCCAGCAGTCCATTCCAAGACTTCAGGGTTTGTCTTGCTGGGCTGGGCCACATAGCAGTGAGGGTTTTCATCACTCTCAATGTCAGGTTTAAGAGGTGTGGTATATAAGAGACATT